GACCGCACCTCGTGAAAATGCAATTGTGTGACTTTCTGCATAGTGGTAGGGGAAGCTCTTGTCTAGTTGGAAAGAAGAGGAGGCGTAAGATGAAATGAAGCTGACTCTATGACGTGGAAGTTGTGAGAATGGGCGAAAGATGGTTCTTGTCGTAAGTTATTTGGCGTTAGCTACTTAACACTTTAAAGCCTAGTGGTCACTATGTATCATGAACTGGACAAAATGTTGAGGGAAGCGGTGGTGGCCTATTTCGTGTACTGTCCCGACTAATACTTCTTAACAGACTACACAAAACCACAAGAATCCTCAGTCAGGATATTCGGTTGTCCCGGTCGAATTTCGAACCGCGCATCTCCCGAACGCATGTCAGAAGCGTTACGGCGTTAGCGACTTCTTGGGTGCCAAGCCCCGCACCCTAACGAAACGATCCTCTGAATGGACAACTAAAAAACTAAACTCCGTGGACTATAGTCCGCAAGCGAACTATACCGACCGAGCGACCGCCGCTTGCCGGCTAAGTTAGTGCCAACTTTTGAGGATAGAGGGTGTCACGTGGTCAGCGCAACGGATCCCCACGGCCGTTAATCTTGGTGTTCTAGACCGGAGCCGCTATTTTCTTGAAACAACTCCTCAATTATCATCACGAGGCTGAGTGGACCAATTTCCAGACTCACCACTTCTCAGAAAATCTGGTGGCGCCGGGAATCGAACCCGGGACCTCTGGATCTGTAGCCAGGAACACAGAGAGAATTAGAGACTCAAATATTCCGGGTCACTGACGGGATTCCACAGCATGGCGCCACAATCAACTTCGAGCGAGGTCCAACTGACGCGTTTCTGTTTCGATGCTGAAATGCTGGATGCATTGGTAACATATGAAAAGCTCGGAAGACATATGAAGACGGATGCATGCTCCATCACATCTGCGAGAGGATTTCTCATTAGCGATGGCGTGCAGCAGTGGCATAAGAGCTTTGGCGATCTCAGTAGGACTGCTGTAAATATACCAGGACCTTTCTCTGCAACAAAACAGGCTGGGCCAACTGCCGCGATCCAGTATATTCCATCCTTTTTATGATGCCAAACTGTTTCTTGTGTGTGCACTAGCTGCAAATCCAACGAAGAGTCTCTCCAGTCTTCATCTTTGGAATATTTAAGTACACTTTAGCAGATCACAGTGGCCGCTCAGTCTAAGGCATAAACCGCCTTCGCCCTCTCGAACACTGGCGTCTTGGGTTCGAGCAACACTCGAGGCACGGATATCTGTGTGCGTTTATTCTGTGTTTGTGTTCCTCTGTACGTAGATAGCGCACTTGTGACGGGCTGATCCCCCGTACAAAGAGTCCTATCGACTATATAGGATTAAGAAACTGGAAAACGTCTAAGGCCCAATAGAGGGCTGTAGAGCCATAGACAGATACATCCCGACAGACGCAAGAGATGTACTTCTTTCTCCACAGCGTCCATATTGGCTCTGAGGCCCACACAATGGGTACCGGAGCTTCTTTTCCAGGGGGTAAAGAGGCCAGGGCGTGTAGCTAATCACTCCCATTTAGTGCCGATGTCAAGAATGGTGGAACTACACCTCCACTCCCCACGCTTCTCCAAGGAGAGATGCTTATTTAGGTAAATACAGGGACAACTTTGCGTTTTTATTTACAGCTATGGCCTTGGTGACCAGAGGCCCTCTGTTTATGGGCATCACTGTTCAAATTTGCTTCACGCCTTCCCTGCCTAAGATGCAGGCTGGTTTCTGTACGGTCGGTATTGCAGTCTCGTCCACACCATGAGTGTCTTAGCACTGGAATTTGTATTTATCTTTACATTTATTTGGACTTACCTAAAATAGAGAACATCTCAACTAGGATCTCTGCCTAGACTTACAGCCGGTGGGGTGCGGATGGATATCTTGTTCTTGTATAAGGAATGACGGAAGTCACACACAAGAACAATGCTGTCACTGGAATTAGCAGCTGGAATTAGCTTCTCGCCTCTGTTCGTACTTAGCTCACGTTAAATTTGGAGACCGCATCTTTTCCGAGTTCCGGTTTTTCTGCATCGGAGAGGAGCAGATACGGGCTTTTATACGCAAATATTTATTTGAATGGCTGCTCAGGTTCATGAAAAATATTTAATAAAATGTTTAAAAGTATCGTAAAAGAAGCGTTGTACAACTTATTTTGTTAACCGTTACCGTCGCCGTTCCATGGTTCCCAAACTGGCTGGCGCCTTACGAAGTAGTGTGCGGAGAAATACTGAAATGCTCCAAATCTGAACTATAGAGTGATGAAATTCTCAATATATTGACTTGACTTATAAAATCCACAGGAAGTAGTACAGTTAGCATTATGCTGGCCAGATGCACCGACAGAATCTAGTTATTACAGGTGTTAATACTGCGTGGAGGTGGGTTAGAATACCCCCACCCTAGTTCTATGAGTGTAGACGGCGACGGAAAGGGGCCCGGCGCGTGGAGGTACATATTATTATTTTTTATTTTTCTGAATTGGGTGAGACTGAGTCCACTTGGTACTGCGGCCAATTCTGGCCAATTGTACCAGCCCAAGATGATAGATGATGATGATTTTGGAGAAATTTGTGGAATGAAGATTGGCAGGGGAAACTAAAGTACTCGGAGAAAACCTGCCCCAGTGTCACTTTGTCCACCACAAATCCCATATGTCCTGGCTCGGGCTCGAACCCGGGCCGCCGCCCTGAGTAGCCAGTGACTAACCGCCTGGGCTATGGCACGCCCTGACTGGGTTTATAACCGGGCCACCCTGTCACTGAGGGACATACACGTACGTAGATACAGGAACCCGGTCCTCCAGGTTGAGCGTTGGATGTAAGGCTGATGATCTCGTTCTTTAATAAAAAATAAAATACTTTTGGCGAAATCCAAAGAAGTGGAAATCGGACGATGATAATGGTCACCGAAATAAAAAAAAAAAATTAGACATTCTTGCAAGCGACATGACACGAAGGATTGAGTTCCAGGAGTTCCTTGCCCGTGAATGAGGAAGATTGAGGTCAAAGAGGTATGATATGCAACTTCTCTGTTGCAGTTATGAAGTGCAAAGGGAAATGCAGGATGTACCAAGATTTCGAGATTGCCTCTCCGAAAGATACATCACATTGCTTTGTCATTTGTTTCTACAACGCGCAGTCTGGGTGAAACGATAGACAAACAGGACGGACACACAATCAGATGAATGGGCAAATGTTGCGTTCTGTATCCATTTACCACCCGTCGGGACTTTTCCCAAGTCTTGGACAAAGGCTGGGGGGGGGCAGGCTGCTGCGCGTTTGCTCGTTGTAGTGTCCATTCCGTACACCAGGCGGCAGAAGCTTCTGGCTATGTTTGTGAGGAATATGCGCGAATATCGTGGACGGTCGTGGAGCAGTGCATGCTGTGCATGATTTTGACCACATTGCGGAGGAAGAATGACGCTCAGGTGTTTGTTTTAAGGTAAAATGTAACGTTGTTCCTACTGAAGCACTATGCAATGAAGATTTATGGGGGAGTGAAGGTATAGCTCTTCCTTTCTTGACCTGTGCAGGTAGTCAGCTTCACGCCCCTGCCGCTTTACCCCTAGGGTAAAGAACCCCTAGTACCCATTGGATAGGAGGTTGGGTGAGCCTCATATACGGTCTGGATTTTGAGGAATAGAGAAAAATCAGTCGTCCCTCCGGGGAATTGAATCCCGGCCGTCCAACTCGTAACAAGCCGCCATACCTACTGGGCTATCACCGCTCCTCACATGTGTATGGTATCTGAATATTAGTCTAGTATTCCTATTGAAAAAACGAAATTAGGCTAATGCGATCTCTATGCTGTTGTGTATCCCCCATCAACTTTCGAATGCCCGAACCAGTCTTTATGAAACTTGTTATGTATACGAGTATCATAACAATTGAGCCAATTTCAGCAGTTTGCTTCATAAATCCCTCACATCAATCTGTCGTTACTAGACAAAGGATCGGTAAATTGTACCCCTCTTTTCATTGGTAGCGACGGCTTAGTAAACACTTTCCCGCGGCAACAAATACGCGTAACAGTAAGAGAAATGTTAGACTCGTCTGTCTGCTGGTATGTCCGTGTATCTGTCTATCGTTGCTGGGCATTAACCTGTAAAGGAGTTCCCACTGCAACTAAGAATTGTTGGAGGCGTCGTTTTCTTGCGGTCCGAGTCGATCAAAGGAAATTAGACAATTCTTTCCAAAACTTCTTGTTTCTTTTTAATAAATATACATTGAATTTATAGAATTATATTATACGAAAGTGTACAGGATTGAGTTTTTTTTTAACCATAAGTGAATTCGGGTTTAGAAGTCCCGTAAAGCTTCCAGAATTTTATTCAGTTATTTACTTCATTCAATAATGTTCTTTAAATTCATACTCTTTTATTTAGTTATTTATTATTTTTTTTGTGATATGGCAAGAAGGACATTCTCAGATGGGAAATTTATGGCCATTCTGCTGGGTATTCTACCCATCCCATGTTGATACACCGTATGAGGACAGCAGTGGTGAAACTGAGTATGATTGTTCTTCATTAAAACCACCACGCCTGTGCCCTCTTCTCGTGGAACACAATAGGATGCATCCGATGCTAATAGTGTATATAATCTTGCAATGATGAAGGCAGTAGTCGGCCTGTAATTATGACAGTAAAAGTTTTCTGTACAGTACGTAACATGTGTCCATCGGATATGTTCCGACATTACTGTTGGGAAACATCATTTGTGGCTTTATTTTACAAAGCGATTTATATGTACAACGAAAGCAAAGAAGCGTCCAAGCAATAACAACGATAGTTGTGTGGTTTCCAAGGACTACAGTTTCTCTCTGGCATTGAAGAAAAGTATTGCTACAGGAGTTGGACAAAATAATGTAAACACTACAGCTGCTGTACACATTTCTTTATTAATATGGCGCTGGACCACCTTTTGCCGTCAATACAGCTGTAATCCTAATTGGAATTGACTCATACAAGTTTTGAACAGTCTTGCAGAATTTTATACTACTTCCCTTGAAGAACATCTTCAAATTGCTTTAGAGCTTTTGGAGGTTGGAATCTGTTCGTCACTCTAGGCTCCAAAACTGACCAAGAGTGGTCCAATTATACTCAAATCTGGTGATTGTGATGGCCAGGGAAGATGCTGAAGTTCACCTTCATGCTCTTCAAACCATGGTTGAACAGTTCCAGATGTGTGAACGGGGGCATTGCCATCTTGGAAAACTGCATCGTTGTTCGGAAATAACGTCTGGATCCTGGGATGCACCTGATTACCCAACCTGTCCCTTGCAGTAATTCTGCCATGAGGGGTAGTAATGGGAGCAACAGAATACTATGATATTGCTGCCCAAACCATCATAGAACCTCCCGTGTTTCAGTGTTGGAACCAGGCATTCCTAATTGTAGGATTCCTGGGGTATCCTCCAAACATAAACTCTTTCTGGAGAGCTTGAAGGACGACTCATCTGACCAGATCACACGCGTTTCCAGTTGTCCTGTGTCCAGATTTTATTGTCGTGACACCATCGTTTACGCATCTGAGCATTGCTTTCAGTAATCAGAGGTTTAGCAATTGCAGCCCAATTGTTGGATTTGTAAAGCTCAATTCCGACAGTTTTTGTGGAAACAAGTCTTCAAGATGAATATTCAGTTCTGCTCTCACCTGTGCTGCAGTAGCTCTGTGATTCTTCGAAACAATCCATTTTAGTGTACAACGATCTTTTTCTGTTAATGTTGATTTTCGCCCACTGTTCCTCTCCGCTGATGTCGTCCCATTATCCGTGTATGCCGAGATAACCTTAGGAACTGTTGCTCTCGATACACCTAATAATGTTGTAGTTTTTGTTACAGATGCTACCGCTAAACGCGCACAAACTATCTGTTCTCTTTCAAAATCGGACAAGTTTCCCATTTTCCGATCGTTTCACATGGACTCTCACTCAACACAATCACTATTACAGCATGTAAATAAACGGCAGAATGTGCCATGTTGCCATCTGAAGTTCTTTCAATGCAGCGAATACAAATTCTATTCCTCAGTTTCTTAGTATTTCTCTTATTTTTCTCATCCACTATATATTCAAGCGAACTCCGCAAATTATCGGTTGCTGGTGACCCCTGGTGACGATTGTAGGGATTTTGGCTCTGGTGTGGTAAGGGTTCTCGTAAGAATTTAGGGAACTTTCTTGCCGTAGTTAACGCGGTAAAAATAAGTAAAAGGATTTACGTATTTGTGTTGTTTAATTTGACTTCGTTGAAGGAAAGTATTGCCATATTCGTCTGAAATCCACAAATGTCTGTCGCCGAAGTGTTATACTTAACTACTTACAATACAGGCAGCTGGCGACAGATAAGATATGGGAGGAAGTCGGAGTTGAAAGTGCATAATCATCACAACTAACAGGTTATGTTGAAAAGTGTTAACATGTCATCGTTGTAAGGAAGAAGTGTAATCTTTGTTACCAGCATATTTCCAAGGTATTTTGTATTTAATTGCCCGAAAATAACATAATTTTTATGACATGCCATGTTAATAGTTGGCAAATCGCATATTACTAACATCGTACGATGCAAGCTTTGTAATCTTTTTACTTTTAACATCGTATGTAGAGTACTGCATTACATCTGGTGTGAGGAAATGCAACTGTCAAGAAGCAGGTTAATTTGGTACAGATTTTGAATTAATTCTTCGCTGTGCTGATACCTTCAAATAACCATTATAGTTTAGTGAACTGTTTACTGACATTGTTATATTGATATATAAATTTCCTAGATTTAGTTTTGAATCTCCAGTGTTTACCGCTAGGGAGTTTGGAAAATTGTAGGCATCTGGAGATAACTAATTTTAATACAGAAACGTCATTCTGGGGATGTTCAAAGCAGAATGACTTGATAAGTGTCCATTCTTGTTACAGACCAGTAATGCATGCTGGACTCTGGTGCTCCAGAATGTTTGTCACTCCCTGCTAGACTGCAATATGATTTATAAAGTAAAGAAGGCACTGTAATTTCCAGCTGAAAAGTATCTCAAGCCATTATTTACTACACATGCATTTCAGTTGTATCTTTGCAATAAGGATACAAGCTGCAGAAGCTCAGAATTCACATAGAGATTAAGTTATAGAGATGTGAGAGATAGGATATGTAAGCCTGACCTTTGTGTGGTAAATGAGACAGTGGTTATTGCACTTACTGAGTCATGGCAGTATGCAGGGTGTTACTGAAAGGCGTGGGCAAACTTTGGGCATGAGTTCCACATACCAAAACAAGGAAAAATGTCCGTTTCTATATATGTGTCCAGAAATATTTAATTTGTGAGTTATAACTGAAAGAGTACATTTATAAAAAGTGCTCACCTCAACATATCTCATTATGGACCACCGTGTCCAGTCGGAGATCCCGGAGTAATTGCGGATAATCTGACAGGCATCCACAGTGAGATGGTGAAGTGCTTCTTCACTGTCAACAGGAGCTGCATAGACAAGGGATTTTAGGTGTCCCCACAGGTAAAAATCTGGAGGATTAAAATCTTGCAAGTGTGTGGGCCATGCAATTGGTCCTTTTCTACTTATTCATTAGTTGAGATGGGTGTTACTGAAAATGTCTTGCACAGCATAGCCAAAGTGTGCTGGAGCACCTTCACACAAGTACCATATTCATGCTCTGACTGCCAGTGGTCCAATTTCCAGTAGGTTTGGCAGATCGTGTAAGAGGAAATATCAGTAGTGGTTCCCTGTAAGCCTATGTGACAAAACAACTAAAGAATCACCAGCGATTCATGCCCTCACATTAACGCTAAACTGCTTTTGCTGTCTAAACAGCATTCTCAGCTATAACACACAAATTAAATGTTTCCATGTCCACGGTTTATGCTAACCGTCTTACAGTGTATACACTTTTTCACCTTATTCTTCACTTCCACACTACATGTTTCAGCACTAATGTGCCATCCTCAGGTGTCTTTATGCACGTTAAACTATTGTACTGCATGCCATGATGTCTTCATTCTAAAATGACTAAAATCTGTATTCGTCATATATGTCGATGAATTCTAAAAAAAAAAAAAAAAACTTTTCAGGATTCATCCTACATCGCACTCAAACACGTGCATTACGCCAATCCTCTTTTATCTTTTATAAAAGTTTTTTTTAGAATTCATCTACATATATGACGAATACAGATTTTAGTCATTTTAGAATGAAGACATCATGGCATGCAGTACAATAGTTTAACGTGGATAAAAACACCTGAGGATGGCACATTAGTGCTGAAACATGTAGTGTGGAAGTGAAGAATAAGGCGAAAAAGTGTATACACTGTAAGACAGTTAGCGTAAACCATGGACATGAATCAGTGTAACAGGACGCTAAAATATAACATTTTTAAATGTTTCCAGACTCATGTTGAGAAGGATATTTCCTTTGTTATGGTATGTAGAACTTATGCCTGAAGTTCTTCTGCACCTTTCAGTTATGACCTGTATGTAGTAATCACGGAAGAAATGTCACTAACAGAATTTAGGTTAACTTAGTTTCAGTTGGTTTGCACTTGTGAAAAACAAGTGCAGTTGATTTGGTCTTAAAATTAATTATTAATACTCTTGTAGGTAAGGAATTATTTATGGTTGTGGTTTTCTTAAGTGTGGCACGATGCAATTAGGTAATTACCTACATTCTCGGAGGAACTTGCTGCTTTTATCTCCACCTTCCAAACTAGGTGATGTCAGATCTCAGAAGACAGTAATCTTAATACTCCTGTGAGAATCTTAAGTCTCAGGGGATTAACTTCTTTCTTATTAGATCTAAGTGATGATTTATGTTGTTTGTTTGCTTTATGAGTTACTCAACAATGCAAGAAGTATCTAGACCAGTGGCAGAGGTTTCATGTTAATGATGTTAGCCAGGCTAACACTTCAGAAAATTGAATAGAAGGGGTTACTTTCATGGTTCATTTCTTCCCCATATACTGGCAAGAGAATGCATCCTCTACCACTGCTAGTGACCTCATCACAGGTATTGATAGCCAGTTCCTTGTGGCTTATGTAAGCTCGTTGTGAGTGCAGGCACAATTAGGAAAGATGTGAGCTAGATGGAAGTAGGGTGTGCATGACATTTCAAGCTGTCATGTTAGCCAAATAAGGGATGTTAACACATTGAAGTTCCTTACAAAATGTGTGTACGTCACTGGAATACATCTTTCCACTCATGTTTATCCCTTCTTCACAGTCAAACTGTTGTCAGCATTGCTGATTCATTCAGATATGTTTGAAGGATAGACAAACAGAAGCCATGTTTCCAACCTTCCCAATCCATTCCACGCACACAGTTTAGATTTCAGACATACCTAACATCACTGATTTTATACCAATTGAATGGAATATTGTACCTTTCTCTTGGCAAGGTGTTCTTGCATAGCAGCACAAGTTGTTCACTCTGTGTGCCTAACGGGTTGAACGGCATGAAGCTTCTGAGGCTGGGACACTACTATAGCCATCACTGTTTCCTGCCACGGAGGAGGCTGACATCCACAGTCACCTCAATACCGAAAATATGCATTGTTGGAAGTGGACCTGCCAGCTTCTACACTGCACAGCACCTGATTAAGGTCTGAGGCACTAGGTACTTTTATTTTTGGGGGGGGGGTGTCAGAAAATATGAACTGTCTCATGGGACAAATTGAACTGACATCCTCAACAGAATTTGTTTTGTAATTTTGACGCTGTTTGAAGGAAACATCACCAGTGAATTTAGGCAGTATAATCCATCAGGGTTGTTTTGTTTACATTGAATAAACTCTCTGTAGGCTGTTTAGCAGGATGTGAGCAATGGTGTTCGGTTGTGCAGTAGCTGTCATTACTGCCAGCAAGAAGCATTGTACCCCTCTAGTACACCTCAGAGTTGAGGTCTCACTGAACTAGTTGTACTTCAAGGATGAACACATGTTGGTCACCTGTATCTGTTATGTTGGTACTTGTGTTAATTGGTAACATAAGTAATTTCAGAAGTTATTGCCATGTTGTCTGACATGTTAGTGCTGCAAAGTGTAGAAGTTTATTTGTAAAAAGAAAACCCAAAGCCCAACCATAGAAGATTTTAGATGTTTTTTAAGACAACACACAACAGTAACTTTTAAGTTATGTGGGTCACCCAGAATTATGAAAGTGTTCACTGTATCTCATTCCGTTACAAAGCATGCAGAAGAATGTTTCAGTTGCATGGCAAGGACATTAATAGCATTTTTATCCATGCTTCTGTTGATACAACTAGCCACCATTCAAATATATTGTGGAATCTGTACTTTTACATTTTTATAGTTTTAAGACCATTAAATCCTGCAATGCAGGAATGTCAGAGCTGGTGCTTAACATTTTATATCTTGCAGACTGTTCCACGTGTGGAAGTTGACATTTATGAGCAGCTACCAGTTCCATTTGGCCTTGTACGCTTTGGTGTAGCACCAGATCATCCTGAAGTGAAGAACGTGATAAACACATTCACGAAGACAGCCAAGAGCCCTCAGCTGAGATTTGTAGGGAATGTGACTCTGGGTCGGGACTTGTCACTGAAGGAACTCAGGAATGCATATCACGCTGTGGTATTGGTATGTACAGATCTGTCAACCCATTTGATCACAGTGTATGGTACAAGACTCCTTTATTTACAACCAAAAATGCTATTTAAGGCTGTGGGACCCAGAGTTGCCATTATTAGTTTTGGTAGGGATATCATTTTCTTGTGATTGGAAAAGACTCTTTGGACCAGTGAGGTTGATAGTTATATTGACAGGTCCTTTGATGCTGTGCAGGTCATAGTGAAGGACCCAGACTCGGAATGTTTTACTGAGTCTTCACATTGATGTCTTCATTCTCATACTCGTCTTCTCAAGAAACATAATTTGTAACTTATAAAGCCTCGTATNTATTGACAGGTCCTTTGATGCTGTGCAGGTCATAGTGAAGGACCCACACTCGGAATGTTTTACTGAGTCTTCACATTGATGTCTTCATTCTTATACTCGTCTTCTCAAGAAACTCTGAGAGCAAACTCACTGTTGCACTGTGCAAACCATTTTCACGTATCATGCTATGGTAATTAAGTCACGGCAGTACTATACCTGGAGAGGAGAAAATGCAACTACGAAACGTACTTACATATTAATAGGCGATCCACGTAACTTTAAAACTTACTGCCATGTTGTCCATGATGTTAGTGCTGTCAGCCATAGAAGTGCTTACATACGAGTAGTAACAGGTGACCCAAGTTTGCATCTAAAACCAAAATAAGACTAGTTTTCAAAATGTTAGGCCTTGGGGTCTATTTTGGAAAGCTTAGCCATTTCAGTTTTGTTTTTAGAAATTAGTATATGGAAAAGTGGGGTTTATGCTTGGGGTTGGGGGCGCAGCGCCAGTGTGTTCAACAACATGTCAGTAGAGTCCAGCAATACAACACACACAGCCACATAAGAAAGACACATCATAAGACACAGTATATACACAATTAAAACATAAGAAGAACAACTCCCATAGCGGATGAATGGCATTACACATGAGTTTGATATACGTCATGTAAGATGATAGATCTTAACAAATTTTAATATATAAATTTTATTATTGAACAACGACAAACACAAATTTTATATCATTTTATAAATGGACACTTGATGGCATCCAGTGCAATGGTTTAACATGACAGATACACCTGAGGATGGCAGAATGATGCTGATACATGTAGTGTGAAGTGACAAGTGAAATTGTGTGCACTAAAAGACAGTAAATATATACACATTATGGATATGGCAATAGAGTCTTAAAGTTACTTAAGTCAGCCATTAATATGTAAGTATGCTGTCAAATTCTAGGTTAGATCAGATTTCGGTGTAGTTTGTGATAAAAAGAAGTTGGTAATTACTCATACTATCTTCACCATGTCTGTTGATCTGTCTGGAATTAGTCAGTAATTAAAAAACATTTGAAGAGATTTTCATGAAAGTTTATATTGTGGAAAATGCCCAGAAATTTTCTACACGCTTCAGTTTTGATTCAAGTCAGTGAGCAATAGTGGATACTTTATATGCATTGCTCTGTGTATCTCTAAATTAACTTATGCGTCACTGTCTAAATATTTATTTGAGCAAAAAAAGTTTATTGAAGAAAAGTTGTGGAGAAAAGTCAAAGACACAATTTTGTGCCCAAGACTTTTTCCACAAGTCTTACAATTTTCCAGATAAATAAACAAAAAGGAATGAATGTTTCAAAATTGTTACTTTATATGTGTATTTCTTGACTAATTTTTCTAAGTTTAGTATAGAATTGATTGAATGTTGTGTTGACAGTCATAATGAGAGCAGCTGAGTTGACTGAACTTACCAATCAAAGAATCAGTCAGTCAGTCAGTCAGTTATCAGCAAGTGGTTCTGCTGCCCTGGTTAGTGTTTACATAAATTCAGGGCTGTTGTCAAAAAATTCTCACCATGTCAACATGTGTGTTTATACTGCAAAAAATGTATTTATTTGTGCTATGAGGCTTATTCCTTTTGGTTCCTCCTCCTCCTACTACTACATGGTGATCCTATTTAAAAGCAACTATATATATATATATATACAGGGTGTCCCAGGAGGAATGTGCCAAACTTCGGGAGGGTGTTCCTTATGTTAAAGTATGCCGATATAACCCAAAACACCTATGTCCAAAGTTGAACGGTTACGGAGATAATGGCCAGAGAAGTGTCAAACTTTGACCGGGGTTACACACTTGTTGATTACAAAATAGATATTAAAACTGGCAGGAATATGTGGATTCTGTAA